TCTAGTCATTTTCTGGTAATAAGTCAATGTTTATTGGTGTCTAGAAAATGAGACATTTCATGAACCTTCCAATTGTAAGGTCACAATGAGCAAGTACAGCTCCTCACCTAGCAACCCAGGCAAAATTAGGTGATATACATTTTTATTAGAGAAATGTATTCTGTATAATATATTTGTAGAAGCATAGTTATTCAGAAAATCTGTTACTTTTGTTTACAGGGTGTTATTTATTTTCCAAACCAGAGGTAATAAAAAAGTATTGTTTTTATAAATATGTCGGTCATAAAAAGTACAATTATATTATTATTTCCTGGATTGATGTTATATTTGTTTTTTACATGTTAGAAAAAAGTAAACCCCAGCTCTATTTCATTTTTCTAATAAAAATGATTTTGCCGTTTAGAGTGTGCTACTGGGAGACCGGAAGCCAGAAGAAGAAAAACTGCCAGGTAGACGGGATTTTTTCATGCGGTTGTATGGAGGGAACATACTTCTGGCTCGAAAGCTGTAAAAGTATATCCTTGTCACATTATGGCTGGATGGCTGCTCTTTGTTTTCTGGACTATAGATGAGTTTAAAAATGCGTGGTATCACAAGAGAGCCAGCTGAACTGCGTTTCCAGGACCGAGCTCAGTATGCTAAGCTAAGTTAGCGCCGAAGCTAACGCTACTGCGTTTGAGCTTATTATTAAGCTGAGCTCAGCTAGGCTGTTGACGCCTGTGGATCAGCACTCACTCACCTGCGTTCAGGAGGGCGAGGACGAGAGATTCTTCATGCACACAGCTGCTGTTTAACCTTGGGCAGGAGAAGTTACCTGATAGGTATTTTTTCTCGAACCTACATAAAAAGACCACAGACAACGTATATGAATTTCATAGACAAAGCTTTTGCAAAAGGAGAACTTTCCATCAGCCGTTCACNGANAGTTCTGATCTCCTTCCACGCGAGCCCCTGTTTTATTGTCAAGCAGAACAGCCAGAAAAAAACAACAAGGGCGTAAAACATTTAACCTAAACAAACCAGCAACTCAGTTCCAGGTGTGATATCTGATCTACGATCTGAGCCCAGTTCAGCTCTAGGTCAAACTGTCAACAAAGAGGGAGGATAAACAAGAGTCAAAATACGACCGCTCTCAGGCAGTTAGGAGGTATTCTGGTTGATAAGAATTAAGGTCTGGGAAACACAGAGTTAACTGTCTCACATCAAGATAAACAGACAGTCGTAACCTCCAGGTCAGTTTATACACACATAAGGAAGAGAACACTTTAAACAGAAAATCACAATAATACTGATTAACATTAGACTGAATATGAACTAAAGTAATAATGATAATACCAAAAAATATCTAACATTACCTTCAGACTGGTAAGATTACTGTTTTTCATTGTGTTTAAAGGGAATCTTGTAGTGATGCGTCGGTCGCGAACGTTTTGGCTCTTACAACCGCTCTTGTGCGAAATTCTGATCCTGTCTGAAAATCTGTTTCCCCTGTGTCGGGAGCGCGAACTGCAGCCAGAGAGGCGGATCTCACAATTTTCACGGCCCATTTGTTCGATTCCTTGGTAAAAACAACAAATTTGTAAAATAAATGTGTGTAGAGGTCTTTCTACATAGTTTTATGTTGTTTCCTTAATCGCCTAGAATCGGTATTTTTCCAACGTTTGTCACTTAAGCCTGACACAAAGTCAGTCACCAAACATGGTTCTCCCAACACATTTTATATTTATAATTTTTCATTGCCAATATAAGAGGATGGAAGCTAGCTGATAGCAGGGAAAAGATGAGAGGGTAGGCTTTCTGGAAAATCCTACTCTAATGTAAAATATTACAGATGACTCACATAACAACCATTGAGAATTTCTAAACATTTGGTCTTTATTTGCCAAAGGGGGAAACCAAATATTTCAGCAGTCTGAAATAATCTGCTCCCCCTCCATAACATGACCACATTAATTTACCTGGAAGTCTTTAACTGTGTTTATTCCTCTCATCATCAACAACAAATCCTGTAAATTTGGTAACATTTGCTCTGTTCCAAAGTTAAGGAGGGGGGGAAACCAAATATTTCAGCTGCCTGAAATAACCTGTTCCCCTGTTCAGCAATTACAAAATAAAGTTTATGATAGCAAGGACAATAGAAGAGAAAAAAAATACATGCAAAGCACTGGCAACATGCTGCCTAACACAAGTTTGATGTTAATGCATTCTTTATCTTGACCTTGGAACCTTTAGCAGTGTACAACAGAGTTTAGATGTATAGCCAGAGCCCGACCCAAAATTCCGGCTGGGTTGGGCTCAGGCTTCTGCAGCAAATTTATTAAGCTTTCAATACATACAAAGAGCAAACTAAGTCAGAATGCACAATATAATGTTGTGTTAAACTACTTCTTGTAGTCTAGGTAGATCACCTTGTTGAGGAAAGAGAAATTAGAGTGCAGCAGTTGATTAGATTGTAATAAGTGCAGCATACAGCATATTGCGCATACAGCCCTACCCTTTTCCACTTCCATCAATCACATATCTCTGAAGATTTGCATTTGTCTCACCCTACAGTTACAACAAGCGACAATATTGAGCTGGAAGATGTTAAACAAAAGCTAAAAACAGGACAAGTTACACTGCTTTTTAATTGAAATCATATTTTGGGCTTACTTCTGGCTCAGGCCTATAATTCAAGTCGAGTTGAATCGGACTCAGACACAATGTCAATGCCATTTTTAATTTTTACTTTTTTTTTTTTAGGCCTGATCTAAACTATAGTATGCAATGTGCCTTGTACTAAGGAACATGCCAAAAGAAGGGCAAAGTATCTAAATGGCAACTTATTGGAATGTGAAAACATTGAAAAATGTGATTTCTCAGGGTTCACATTAAGTCTTGTGTGGAACACAAATGTGTAAATCTTTAGTCCTTAATTTATTTTTTATTCTGTATAAAAACTTAATAACTTTATATTATAATGTCTGTACTAACATCCAAAATGACACATGTTCCCACAGTGAACTCTGCCTTCTGACAACGTTTCCCTTGACAAGGTTAACCAGCAGTCGGTAAAACTTCCTTGCCCATAAACACTTCTCAAACATGTTCCACACTTTATATTGGGCTCTGCATTACATATTTTGGAAACATTTGGGTGCCTCTCTTTGATTAAGTTTTGCATTTACGACCTAACAGACACAAACCAGGCCAAACAAATCAAAGCTGTGCATGAATGTTTCAGAGCTTGTCATATTCCCCGTTGGTTCTTAGAGTAAAATGATTTCCCTTTTCCTTTAATGCTAATCTTGCAGGCAGACAAAATACGATATCCAGTTGCTGAACTGTCAGAGAAGGAGGTAGGATCAAGTGACTCCTTACCAGGATGCAAAAAATAGACCAAGGAGAAACACATTTTTTTGTTGTTGTCAGCGCTTTCATGTTGTTCTGTCATCAGGCATCCCACGTGGATTTGGTCTCAGAGATGACGATGTTTAGACATCGCACCTTGCCCTACTGCTGAGTAAACACCAGAGCAAAAGTACACACTGCAAAAACAGCCCTGGTAATCAGTCATCAGGCAGCTAGGATATTGAGTCAATGTAACAGCTTAGATGGAAAGTGCATTAGGACACAAGGAAAATCCATTGTCTCCATTTTTCACTGTTATACATCATGTTCCAGGGGCAGACAGGAGATTTAGAGGGGGAGAAAGACATAGTTTCGCTTTGGGGATTTGAAACCCAGAGGATTGAAGGGGATTTTTTTTTTTTTTTTTCTGTCTGCACTTTCGTGTAAGGCGAGACAAGAAAAATTACTGACAGTAAATAGATGAGTTTGATAAGGTCTCCTAAATATAAGTCTTATCTCTCGCTCAATTTGAAACAGCCATGGGAGAAATAGGCCATGTTGTCACTCAAGCTTTTAATTAAAATCAGAAGAAAAGACTGCATGTGCGTGTGCATGTGATCCCAGGAGAGAGTAGTTTTAAAAACATTTATTCATACTTAATGTTTCTCACCTCTGAGTGACCTTGCTCTTTTGATATTTTTTTCCCCTTCTGTTTCTGTCTGTTTCAGCCTAATTCACCCTTCGTCAAACAGGGTGAATGACACAGTCGGAGACGGACAGAAAAACAGAAAGACAGGAGAGGGGTGATGCGACCCCGTGTCTATTAATCAGCTGCTCAGCCATAGGCTCACATCACAAGAGGAGATAACGGTGAGTGTTGTCACACGAGTGAAAATAATGGCCGGGATGTACCCGTTTTCTGATAGCGGCTTGTCCGAATCCTGAGATGTAGACCGACAAAGACACGTACAAGGCTGGAAAACAGAGAGCCGCTGTCAGGCCTTTGACTGATAACAGCTTGAGTGAGTGGAACACGTCAGAACGGATAACAGTGGCCTAAATGTGATTATGGTTCATCATCAGTTAGAAAGCCCTCCTCGATCTGTGCCATCTTCTTAATTTATCAGACATGACGTAA